ACCTCTCTGAACATTTCATTCCTTGTCTGGAGAATGAGGCCAGTGGGAAGATGCTGTGAAGAACAGGAAGATGAAAGAGCCTCCCCCTCCCCCCACCTGGGTCTAGAAAGAAGGGCTTGTCAGCAGCAGAGGGCAGAGAGAGGCAAGATAAGAGACCAGATCTCCCTCCACGTCCCAGGCAAGTTTGGGAACAGAGTCTGGTCTTAACTTAAGTACAGTTTCCAGAAGATAAATTCGCCCAGGATTTGGAGAGTGGAGGAGTTAGAACCTGCATTTTAAGTGACTTATGCTGATCCAGCCAAAAGGGCTTGATTTAAAATATATTGTAGAGAAACAACTAGCTCGTTTCACATTCATAATTGTTAATTATTAAAATTTTACACATCTGCCTATAATTAGAATTGTGAAACTAGAGAGAAGTTCACCTCCCAGCAATGTCACATGGGCCTGCCTCAATTAGATTTGTTAAAGACATCAGCCAATTATCACTCCCTTTTCCGAGAGCTACAAAACGAATCTCAAAAAACGCCCAGGTGAACACTGCTCTGGAATACTGAAGTGCAAAACTGTTCTAAGTTGCAGCTCTTCCATTTTAAGATTATACTAAATTTACCAAACGTCAGACTGCCTTTTTTTTTTGAAGGGCGGAGAAAAAAAATACTGATTAAATCAAATCTTGCTCCTGGTAATCCTAATTTGAAACATGGCTTAAGTAGATTTATTTAAACCAAATTTTTTCAAAGAAAGAGAAACTATTAAGAGGAAATGATAATAGCTATAATCACCTTTGAAAAAAACAAGTAGGCAATTCCTTTGAAGAAAAGGAGGTTCAAAGGGCTTTGAAGTTACAGAAAGACAGGAGTAGACACCTGCGATCCAAATTGCCCAGTCGAGGGTAAGAAACCCCCAAGACACTGGGCTTACTCCCCTCCTTGCCGTCCCTCATAAACCAGGAAATGCAGATTCTGCCAAACAAAATGCAGTTCCCACTTGCCCTCAGGGGTGGTACAATGTCTCTTTCGGTGACAGGTGTGCGTTAAGGCTGTTTAGTGTTACTTGGTCATGAAAAAACTGGGAGCCAAGTGAAGAGTTCTAACAAGTTCTAACAAATTCTAACAAGTTCTAACAAGTTCTAACAAAGGGAAATCCAATTATCAGAGCCTCCTGTCCAGCAATTTCGGGAATCCTGGTTTCTGACAGGGCCTGTTTTGCCCCATGACCTGAAATGCCTCTGCCCATCCAGAGGTTGCGGGCTGCGAGTGATGACTCTGAGAGACTGGAATGAAATGGTTCCCGGAATCCAAACAGCAACCATCACACTCACTGAGAGGAGAACTGTGGGCTGTAATTTAGGTATGCAATTTCCTCACTGACCTGCACAGGTCTCCTCTAAGAGGTTTTATCATTCAGTCAATCTGTGAGCTACTTATCAACACACCCGCTGTTCACCGTGATTGGTTCTTCCAGAATCTACCCAGCAAACGTCTACCCAAGGAAAGGGTCTGTGCTTGTCAGCACTGCTTATTCCCCGGGACGGGTCTACAAATGGTCACCCAGGGCTGTCACTTGAGGAGAAAGCGGAGAAAGCAGAGCAGAGAGGGGGACCAAAGTGAAGGAAAGAAACAGGACGGGCAGTGCCTGACGGGGAGGTGCACGGCGCTTGGCACGACTCACCAGCCTCAGTCTACACCATGCCCGGGGAAGTGAATTATTCTAACTTTTACTGGCATGCAAATTCAGCCTTTACAAAGCCTGGCCTCTTACAATCTCTGCTGCTGTTAGGACAACTCTGTCACTGTCACCTCCACATCTTCCGAAGACAAGGTACAGGTCCTTTTCCTCCATGCCTCACGCCCCACCAAGGAGGCTCCTTTGTTTAACACTCCAGATCCCAAAAGTGAGGACCAGAGAGACATCCTGCAAGCGTTTCAACATGGGCCTTGTTCCTGGCTTCCGTATTTGGCCCTCAGGACAACTAAAATGCAATAGTAAAACAATTTAATGAAAAAAAAGACTCTTTGGATTATCCAAGAATCTTCTAAGAATAGATTCTTTTAAATGCTTTTGGGGCAAATTGGTTTCCTCTTCATGGTCAATCTTCTAATAATGGGTGTATCTATCAACACCCGTGAGTGGTGTTTAATCACCCAGCCGAGGGGTCTGTGCAGCCTCTTGCCTGTTACCGGGTTGAGAGCTGCAATTCCAAGGTATGTAATAAGTCACTCGAAGGATATATTTTGAAGAGTCTTGAGATGATTTTCAGCATTTGCCAAACAAAAGTTCCTTCTTGGGTATAAGAGTTAATTCGCAAAGTTCTTCTTTTGATCCTTCTCTTTTCCCCTAATATAAACTCTTTTCAAGCCATGAAGGTAGAAGAAATTACTTACATCTGAGATGGGAAAAGAAAGAAAAGAGGGGAATAAAAGATGGTGCTGTCTAATATCTGGGTATAAAAATAATGTCCTGAGATTCTGCCAAGAGCAACCATCTAGGAAAAAAAACACAAACAAAAAACCCTGAGTTCTTCTAGAGAATGAGCACGTGGGCCTTGAATTATGAGCCAACTATGACTTACTCTATCTTGGAGCTTTCTTGCAATTGGTACAGAATTTAATTATTCCTCTGCAAGGCCACCACTGGCCATTGTACCACAGGGGTCCGACACAGATTGTATTGAAAAGAGAAGGTGGGTTGCAGTCCCCTTACTTTGGGCTTCCCTACATTCATTGAAAAGTGGAATAAGACACGGTGAAGCTATGGGCAGCATTTCCATTTGCAGCCAAACTATTTTCCGCTATTTTAAAGAAATTTTCCAGTTAATCCAAATAAAAATAACCTCTATAAAAGCTCAGCTCCATCTGAATTTATGGAGAAGCTATACTTGGAATAATCCAAAGAAACACATGACCACCAAATATTTATTTGGGCCTGTAAAATTCAATTCATGGTCACATTGCAGTTTTTTACCTTCCTAATTATGTTTAAATTATTATTAAAATTAATTTTCATTTTCAAAACCATTGTTACATATCAGGTAAAAGAAGGTGATCTAGAGTATTGTCTGAGGATTAGATATAGACCATAGGTGATGTTCAGAGTTGAGAATTGACAACACAACACTTAAAAGATAATCTCGTTTAAAAAAAAAGTTCATACCAATCAGCTTGATATTATTGTCTTCATCTAGTAGCAAATTTTCTATCTTCAAGTCTCTGAAATAAACAAAACCACACAACATTTCAGATAAGCATTCGAAATAGCAGAATAACATTTTGCTTCTCAAGGGAAATGAATTGTTTTAGAGGCACTTTCGACCCATCCATAAAGGTTTCTGCCGAAACTCACTCAATCAATAAGTAAGTATTTATAAGACATGAAATAATTAATTGCTGTAGCCTACAAAAGCAGAAGGATTTCAGAGAAAACAGAGAGCAAAGAGGGCAGAAGGAATCACACAAAGTTTCTGAAGGAAGTAAGACCTAAACTGGAACCTGGAAGTCAAACAGAACGAGAGTTCAGAGAGAGTGGAACATACCAGTCAAGACAGGTGCTGCCCGAGCAGCCCAAGAAATACAAATGCAGCCAGGGGTTTGCAGCACTGTAAGCAACATTAGCCACAGTAAGGAACAGATTTGGGAAGCAATTAAAAAAAAAAAAGTTGACTGCCGACTTAATTGATAATTAAGTCAACCTCTATGGTTGAAGCCCAAGTATCATGACAAATTGGCAGGTGAAAACAAGTCAATCTATTTAGTAAGCAGATATTATCGTGGACAGGGAAATGGACTCCAAAGATGTCAGTATCCTAATTCCTGGTGCTATGCCTAAGAATACGTTAACTTTACAGAACCAAAAGGAATTAAGTTCCAGACGGAATGAAGAATGCTAATCTGTTGACAAGTGATACCATTCACTGACAGTCAAGGGACAGGAGGAGGTGGGAGGAGAAATGCACCCTTGGTCCTGTTGAGTGTGAAGTGCCTGTAGTATCTGTGCCAGCTGACTGCAAGCTCCTCCGGGGCAGAGAACATGTCTGCCTTGCTTACCACGGTACCCCAGTACCTTTGCACATTCCAGGTACTCAGTAAATACCAGTGAATCTAGATTACCAAAGAGATCATTCTGGATTTCAGAAATAAAAGTGTTTACAAGGGCAAAAGGGTATATTGGTCATCAAAACCATCAAGGTCAACAATGATAAGCTCTGGCATTTTAAATTGTAGCCTGCCAACTCAGGCCCACCTTGAATGTTAATTATGTAAGAATATTCTCTTCCATTAGAAAAAAATACTTTCTTCCATTGTTTTGAAACATACCATTACTGCTCCTGCTTTCATTTTCCCACTTTTCAATAGAAAGATAGGCAAAAGAAATTTTTCCCCTCCTATCTCTTTTGTAAGGAATTGAATAGTGTAATCACAATAAAACAAAAATGGCAACTGATACACTACGTCAACGTCAGAAACAAAAGGGAGCAGCCGCTAGGACTATCTGTGGCAAACAAGACAACGGTGCCCCACTTAACAGGGACGGTTGCTCACAGTTCGGTCCCAGTACTGCCAGCTCACCTCCTTTTCCAAGAGAAGCCAGAAATCCAGATTGGATCTCAATTTTTAAATGTTGGCAACAAGTTCATATTTAAAACAACCAGAACAGCATTGTGTGGGCCAACCTTGCAGGGAAGACATCAAGGTTCAACCTCAGCGCAGGTGGAAATGGAAGCCTTAAAAGGACACGACATTGCCCAAGGGGAGGGGGGAGACAACGGGCTGGTGGGGAACAGGGACATTCATAGCAGACTGGGGAGGCAGGAGGGACGACAGCAAGGCTATTGTCACAGGAACAACCAAGGGCAGGATTTCAAGATGGGAAAAAGAATTAAGGAGTCAAATGCAGAAAAAAGGTGAGCTCTAAAAAGGGTCCAACGGATTCAGATTTGGAAGGTTATTGGTAGCCTTAGGGCTGGACACTTCGCTGAGGGAAGATCTGTGTTAAAAGCGGGAATATAAAACAGATATTCCCCAATCCAGTGCACCCACGAATGGGCAGAACTGTATACTTTCACCTCAGTCCGAATGGAACAATACACAGAATACTTCAAAACCATGTCTGCCTTTTAAAGGTATCATACATGTCCAAATACAGGGTGACCCAAATTTAAGGTGGCACCCCTCATTTTCCCAACAGGAAGACCTCAGCCCTCAGAAAAAGATTTTTGGAAAACACAAATATATAATTATTAGGAATGCAATGGAATTACTAAATGACTATTTATGTGCTACTTATCTGTGAGGCTGTACCATCACATTTAAGATCATACACTTAAACGTTAACATAATTATTTTAGAAATATTGTTTCCATACCGTCACATTTGATGAAATAATTTAATTCAAACTTGTTACAGGCAGAACCAGGATGGCCCTTTGAGTGCAATGTTTCCATTGTGACATGGCCTTTCAGGTGACTGGATGTTCGAGATAGAGCATTTTTTGAATCTGTATGTGATGCACTTGCTGGAAATCTTATCCCAAACTCATTTAAAATGTCTATAAATTAACCGTTCAGAGAATTGTTTTTAGAGTTGGCCTCTCAAACTATCATAATTGACGCTGTATCTCTAGAAGAGATGCCTCCCTTTCTACCAAATTCCTCTGGGATTTCTAGAGCACCCAAAGTCATCAGTAAGTCTAAACAAGGTTAATGTGTCTTCTTCAACTAGTACTTTGTTGTTGAAAATAAAATACCGAAATCAAAATCATATGCCCATAATATGAGAGATTTGCCAGGACCCTGTAAGGCACTTCCTCTTTTCTGCAGATAATTAAGACACAGTATAAGCCGGACTTCTACCCAAGCATATATGGTAATTCCAAAACATACACATGCACACGCAAAATAGCATGCCAGCTCCAACCGTGATTCCATGAACACTGATTACAAAGCGGCAGCATTATTTAAATCTAAAAGGCCGCAGTTTGTTTCAAACGAAATTAAGCCTCTTTGCCTGGGAAGAATGGAAGCCACGCTAAGGGAGAAATTTGGTTCAGTACAATTACTGTGGAGAGAAACAGCTTAAAGAGGCAAGGCAAAAGAAAGCAATTGCCAAGAATAATAAAACCAAGCTGGGTATTTCTGGGGCCATGAAAGCCTACAGAACAGCCACAATGATTGGAAGAATGATATAAATGGAAGACTTACAATGAAGAGAAAATCCAAAAGAAAAATTAAACACTTTTAAAATCAGGGAGATGTCATAAAATCAGAGGAGGAAGTTTAAAAATATAAGAATTAGGCAAAATGAGAAAAATAAAATCAGTTCAAAGTTACTGCATCCCATAGTAACCACCCCCCATCCCCTAAGATAAACGCTCAGTTCAAACCTGGTTACAAACCTGGTTAACTGGGATTATTTACCCATGTATGGCATCATCCTTCTGTCCAGGCTTCTAAAAGATCTCGTGATAACCAGTCTAACCTCCTGAAGGTGCCGTGACTAGTTAATGGAAAGGTGAGCTATTAATACCCTAGTCTCTGTCCAGAAGTTCAGTGTACTCAACCTACCCAAATGAAAGGAACATTCCACCTCTTTTGGCTTTATTTATTTCCACCTCCTGCCTTGTATTTCATAACTTGTCTAGAAGCAGGGGAGATACTTTCCTTCTGACTCCTTAGGAAAAAAGGCTCTAAAATCCCATTTTAAAAAATAGCCTTTACCTTGGGATTTACCCAAATGAGTGGAAAACTTATGGACATGAATGTTTATAGCAGCTTTATTTATAATTTTCCAAAATTGGAAGCACCCAAGGGGTCCTTCAGTAGGTGAATGGATAAGCAAACCTTGACACCTCCAACACTGGAATATTCATTGATGAGAAGAACTGAGCTATCAAGTCATGAAAAGACATGGAGGAACTTCAAATGCGTGTTTTTAAGTGAAAGAAGCTGGTCTGAAAAGGCCTCATACTATGACTCCACCTATACGACATTTCTGGAAAAGGCAAAACTGTGGAGACAGGAAAAAGATTAGTATTAATAGTTGCCAGAGGTTGGTGTTGGGAAGGGAAGAAAGGACGTATGAACAGGTGAAGCACAGAGGGTTTTTAGGATGGTGAAAGAATTCTTCTTCATACTGTGGTGGTGGATACATGACATCGTGCATTTGTCAAAATCCATAGAACTGTACAACACAAGGAGTGACCCTAATGTAAACTGCAGACCTCAGTTATTATAATAATATCGTATCCATATTGGTTCATCAGTTGTAACAAATGTACCACGCTAACACAAGGCATTGATAATGGGAGAACAATGTGGGAATGCTCTGTAGTTTCTGTGCAATTTTCCTGTAAACCTAAAACCACTCTAAAAAAAAATAAAGTATGAATTATTTTAAAGCAGCTTTTGGATGTGTTTCCCTTTCCTAAGCGATCAGTACTAAGAATGGTATGGCTACACCCAAGTGCCTCTCAGGTGGTTCACTGTAGAGCATCCTTGACCACGTGAAGTTAATTTCCTGACTCCATTCAGCACAGAGGGCCACCCAGACCCTCTGCCTGGCTACTCAACAACAACCAAAGAGGCCACAAATGACCCCAAGAGAACACAAAATTGAGAGACACCTTCTTGAATTAAGAAAAGGGTGAATTTATTCATAAGGTTTTAGTGTTCGCATATTACAGTATACCTTTATTTATTTTTTTACAAAATAGAGACAGGGTCTCGCTTTGTTGCCCAGGCTGCAGTGCAGTGGTACAATGCTAGCGCACTGCAGCCTTGAACTCCTGGGCTCAAGCAATGCTCACGCCTCAGCCCCTGAGTAGCTGGAACTACAGGCACGTGCCACCACACCCAGCTCTACAGAGTGCCTTTAAAAAAAAATACTGGCAGGTCTCTATTATTCAGAAAACTGGCTCCATCAGAAAACCTTCTGGGGTCCATGTGAAAAGCATGGTGTTTACTCTAGCTCCATTCAAGAGCAAAACACTTGGCTCTGCTAAGTGTGCGATTTGCCCTACAGAAAAGGAGGTACCAACGGCAGCCTGGTCCGCACATGGCGACGGGGGAGGGGAAGTAGACGCTCAACCTCACATCAGTGGTCCTTGACCTGGTTAACCACGACCACTTTCATGGAGGGGAGAGAGAAGTAGGAGGGTCTCCCTTCCGTCTTGCAGTACGAAGAATTCCTCTCTGTGGCAGGTAAATTTGAAGTTC